AAAGTTTCACCATTTGCACGTTGGCAGAATACTGTCGGGTTGCCCGTACCATGGCAGGGGGATTTTCTTGGGGAGTTGACAACCGGAGCCTTCGGCTAGCTAACGTGTAACCCGCAAGGCAGCGGGGCAGTGTATGAAAACCGCAATTTCTTTGAAGTCCGGTGTCCAGTTCATCGGACGGGCTTAAACGTCCAAGGTACCCAATACACCTCGATTTTCAATTGATCCGGTGACTAGTGTTACTACCGGGAAGATGTGTGCGTAGTTCGTACGCCTCCCCTTAGTTCCAGTCTAACTGGTCAACCACTCATGCTAATGTAAATGACCTAGATTTTTGACTTGATCCAGACACATGAAACACTCGGTCATCTTTGTCCATTTGATCACAAAGGAAAGAGGATACAAGCTGCGAGAATAACCCATTCGGAACGATTATTACAGTGAGCAAACGTTTCGGTTCAGTTCATTTTAGGCATAAGGCGTGGCTTGTGAATCCAGGGGTTTCCTTGAAGGTCAACAGCTTTACAGCTGAGTGACACTTTTGGCCTTCAGTGAAATCTTGCTCATCATGCTTCACAGCCCACCACCCTGCACAAAAGAAAATAACCCGGGGCGCTTGCCCTCTGTGGCAGTAGTTGGAAGTGACTGTTATCTCCCCTCCTCATTAGTCACCATTTATTGACCATTCATTACACCTTTACAACGGTGTTCTCTAGCATCCTCTGCTGTGATACATATAAATTGTATGTGTTACGTAACGATCGTAAAGGTTGAGTAAAATACATCTTGCAGTTTGCTTGTTCTTTCTATTCTAAGCAATCCAAATGATACAACCTATGATGTTCCTCAAGTTGACTTGTTTCCTTATCTGTCGATTCTACGGTTTCTGAGTGGTCCAATGTGTTTAGCTCAAATCTCTACTGTTCATACGAGTCCGATGACTTTTGTTCCATCTTCCTCTGGCCGATTTTAGAAATACACTTTTTGTGGTGGGGCTGGAAATACTAGCTGCTGATATTTACTTTTAGTCCAACTTGATTTCTCACATCCCGTTCCTCTGTAGCAATATCGCGGATCGCTGTGATGCCACCGTGCCTACTACTTCCAGTAATACCAGCGGTTCATTGCGCCCGGTTAGTCGTTCGGCGCAACCAAAAGTTCGTGGTGAACACGTGGTACATCAGGAACATGGTCCGGCACATTTGTCGCACCCGGTTGTTAGTAGTAATACTCGTATCCCTGAAAGCCCGTTTGCGAATGTAGAAAGACGGCCGCGTAAAGGTCGTTCAGAAAAAAATTTGAGCAGACGAGCTACTGATACAGTCATCGACCATCCGCGTCGCAAGTCACGCGGCTCTAGCGCACATCTGGAAGTCTCTGATCGAGCCAATCAGCACTCCAAGAATCGTCACATTGGAGTAAGTTTGTCCGGGTACATCTGTATATCATTACCGCGGTGTTTCTTCTCGCAAAGGCTTGTGTTTTATTTGCAGCTGTTAGTGCGCCTTGCGCATTAGTAAAGTGACTCATCTCCCTTCTAATTCCTTTGTAACAAAGACCACATAGTCTCGCATCTTTCCCACAGATCAACTGATATATGTATAATTCGATTATTAAAAAACAAGCTGTCTCTCTGGAGTTGTATCATAATGCACATCAACTAAGTGCCCCACGTAGCAATGTGTCTCCTTCATCTTCACAATAAATCGTTAATTGGTTCAGTTCGCGGAGATTGATATATTGTTTAGCTTTCTCTTCCTAAATGGATGCGTTCCCCGTGGTTTAACCTCAGTGTACCGATGAACATTTTCCTTGATAAAAATGCGAATGCAAATGCTTGCATAAGTCACTTAAACTCAGTAACACCACAGTGTTGAGTTATTGATTTTATTAATTCCGATAGATCACTTGATTATTACAGTGCACCTATTTTCCCAGATGCATACGTCCGCTCGTTAGTTAAGCGTATCTGGTAATCCTTTGTCCAGTCATTATTACACTCATGAAAACTGAAAACCGGCTCTGGCATCGAGTTGGCTGAAGTAGACGCATCCAACCCACAGCACCCAACAGAATCATGGCGGTGATTCTTTGAGGTTTGTTGGTCTTCAATCAATTCCTTCAACTGCGAATGAAATTCTCGTGGCCGTTTATATAAACATATGCTACCAGAAAGCAGTACGTATGATTTATATATTATATATTTCACAGGGGCATGAGTTAAGACTGTACCAAACGAATAACCGTACAGTACTCTTTACACAAAATAAATGATGTGGTTTCCCTAACATGGTTTAAACAGGGACTAGTTGAAGACATTTCCAGTGGAGTTTAGGACAATCATCTCTACTTACTGGAACACTTGCACACGGTCGCACCTTATCGTTTGAAATATGATTAGTCGCTAATAAATTACATCCTGTTTCTTTTTCGAGGAAAGCCTACAGCATTCAGTTTAACGTTGATTTTTCTTTTATGGATTTCTTTATTGCACATCTAGGGGTCCTACGATCATAACTTAAAACTCCGCGGTTATCCTGATTGAAATTTCCCCCTTGTGGTCCTATTGTTGTCAGCATGAATCTACCAAATGATTAAGTTTTTCTGAAAGTGGCCCTTTACTATCACGATTTTGCAAACTAAGTACTGAATATTTCGATCCACGTTTCCCTTGTCTTTTGTTCAGAGATACGTTTTTGATTCATAAAGAAGCAACTTTCCTCAAACTCGCTCTCGCTAATAAGAAGAACAGTCCGATTTGGCTCAATCGTTTGGGCCGGAACTGATGCCTTCATCTGAGGATCTAACACGCCTTATGCGACCAACCCCACTGGTCTCGGTTATAACCTGATACACTTCTAACTTTCCTCTAATTTCAACCTGTCCCGTCAAACGTCTCATACTGTCGAATTCTACTCGGTCACACGCGTAGTAAACATGATCCAGACAGGCAATTGCGTCAATATACAACGGCGGTTCTCTTACGCTGGATAGATAACCTCGTCGTTGTCCTGTGGGATTGTTGGTCTTTGTGTTGATGATGTACTTGGGATTAGGACAGCTGAAGTCTACA